GGTAGAACAGCCATTAATAATGGTAAAACATAAGTTTGACCTTGAGAGAACTCTGGAGTTTGTCGAACAATTTGTCTTGCAACACTTGCTAAGCAAGTCATTATTGATGTGAAACGATGCGGTTCACTCATACTGTCAATAGATGAAAAGAGTCTAAAAACAAACAATTATGTTTAATAATTAATTAAATATTTATAAGAAACTTTTCAACAATTGGTGGTACGATTAATTCTGGTCGAAGCATTGATAAATATTGACATGCTTTCGCAGCTTCTTTGAGATGAGCTTTAGTAAAAATTGCGATAAATGCACATTCTTTAACACAATTAACAAAATCTGTTATATTTTGTTCAGTTAAACGATAAGATTCTGGTGGTATAAAATACCATATTGGATTTGCTTTACGTTCTCTACAACAAAATGAAATATACATGTTTTATTTTTGTTATTTTAAATCTACTAACAAATGAACTCGATCAACAAATGCTTGTGATAATTTCGACAGAAAATTAATTAATTCTTGTTGAAATTTGCCAGAATTTGATGGATGATAGAAACTTTTAATTGCAGTAAATAAATCTTGTAGATATTGTAAGCATGTACTACCATTTCCTAACATGGCTACAATCCATGTTGTAACACTTGACATTGAATAACGATACTGTTGAAGTGATACTTGAATTTTACCAACTGGTAATGTAAAACTTTTTAATACGCGTGTAAATATCTATTTAATAAAAGAATTATCTATAAAAATTTCTCAATAAAATTCCAAAAATACTCGTGGTAGCCATGGTTCCCAATCAATATGTCCAATATTGCACCAAGCCAATAATGAGAAAAGATTTATCATATTCTAAACAAAAATGTTTTTAATTAAAAATAATTGAACTTTAATAAATATTTACTAATTCCCATACGGGATTACTATAAACACTTTCCCAAATGCCCATAAATTCTGTTAACCATAATCTGTATAATTAAATATTATAGAGAATTTATATCGTAAATCTTTCTAAATTTTTACTTAAATCCTTGATCGTGTAATCCTGGTGGTAGATGAACTGGTAAAAATAATTCAAAAATTCTCATTGTATCCGAAAATGCTGAATCAAATGGGCATAAATATGGCCGAAATTCATCTAGAATTTCTTGTGTTGCTGTTGCTGAGAAATATGGTCGACACCCGCGTACACAATAGATTAATGAATTATCAATATCACTTGAAGAAAAGATTTAACAGAAGATTAAAGAATTTAAACAAAAGAAAAACTAACTTTGATAATGAAACAAGTGAATATGGTTCAT